GATCAGAGGAGGGGGGCTTCCTAATTTTGCCCCACTCCCCCCCCCCCTCCCCCCCCCCCCTCCCCCCCCCCCCCCCCCCCCATCCCCCCCCCCCCCCCCCTCCCCCCCCCCTCCCCCCCCCCCCCCCCCCCCCCCCCCCCCTCCCCCCCCCCCCCCCCCCAGGAGGCCAACACGTGGCCAAAACATTTGTAGCATCAGTGATTTTTAGCATTCTCGCCGAGGCCTCCCTGGACGCTCCAGTGTCTCGCGCAACGCCCCGTTGCAGGTCCAGGGGGAGGAGGACTGGGAGAAGGGTCAAGACGCCCTCCCCGCCCGCAGGACGTTTCGCTCACTCCCACCTTGTCCCCCCCAAGCATCAGCAGCACCCGACCCGCAGCATGTTCCGCGTCGTCTTTGGATGGACAGTCAACGGCACCGTAACGGGTACTTACTAACGGGTACTTTGAATTTTTGCCGAAAGTTGCCACTTTAGGGCCTTTTTCTTGCATTGCAGCTTTGCCCACATCGGGAAGGGTTGGGTTCGCTGGGTCACTGGCCAAAGTACCCGTTTGTGGAGTCCCCGTTTGAGGGGCGCTGAGACAGCTAATGGGAGCCAAAACAGATCCCATGTGCCCAACGCTGGGGCGAGGTGCGCCACGCGTGTCAGGCGCGCCATGCGCGCCGGGTGCGCCAGGCACCCCTCTGGCCCAAGCGTGCCAGGCATTCCTGATGCGCCAGGTGCGCCACGTGATCCACGTGCGCCATGTGTGCCGCATGCTCCAGCCGCGCCAGGTGCGCCACGTTCGGGGCACGCGCAGAGTGTGCCATCTGCGCCCTGCGCACGTGGCAGCACACACTGGGAAACGTGTCGGACCCTCGCCATTCTTGTCGGAAACGAGTGCGCAATTGCGGCGGGGTGGCCATCATAGTATCTGGTGGGCCTGCACACAGCAGGCAATATGCTGGCAGGAACAGTGATACGCCCCAGCCCGAAGGGGAAGAACGGGGGTTGGAAGAAGAAGCGCTCTAAACCACTCACGACCTGCAGGGCTGGTGGGATTCAACTCGCCGACGGCTTCGCTACTAATCGCCTCTAAGCTTTACTCCCTCGGAGAGGTGCGCATTATAAGACATGCACATGTAGCGGGGGACTCGCCCCAGTGGGGCCCCAGGCCGCGACCTCCACAGCATGAGAATGTCGGGGGCCGAGCCCGCGCAGGGGGGGGGCCGAACATACGCTCCGAGGGCGATCATGCAGGCGTCAAGGCGGCCCACGACGTTCCTGAGTCGCCCCCCAAGATGGCCTCACGGGGCTTCAGACGGCTCGCGATGGGTTTCAAACGGCACAAGGTGCTTCCAAGATGCCCCAAGAGGGCTCCAAGAGAACCCCCAAGAGGGCCACGAGAAGCAAGCCTCTTCCAAATCCCTTGTTCGGCAACCGCGGTCTTTTCAATTTTCGTTGTTTTTTGGTCTTGCCAGCGTCGAAAACGACCCAAGTGGCCTCCCAGAGCGCCCCAAGACGGCTCAAGAGGCGCCCAAGAGATTCCCACGACGGTCCAAGAGGGTGCCAAGATGGACCAAGGCCTAAGACACAAGACACGCCAGGGCAAGAACGAGAAATCGCAACATTTCAGCAGCACCCATGCGGAGCCAACGCAATAATGTGACATCACAACAGCTGTTCCATGTTCTCACGGAGCAAGAAGAAACGTTGATGCAAGTTCAGTTTGGGGAGCGTTGCGCGAATATCTTTGCGCCACTCCGACGCATGGGTAGCTTGTTCAGACTCGAGCAGCGGAGACCACAGGTTGTCTTCTTGAATGCGCTCCAGTGGTCGGACACAACTCTGGGCCAAGGTGGCCAACCCGAAGCGCCTGGTAGATCGCAAACCACCCATCCCTCGGCAATGGTCACTCTCCCTTACTCCGAGTTTCTCACCAAGCGTCGCGGGGGCGTCACCCCCGCCGACAGCCCAGCATCGACCCCCGTCGCGGGCAGCCAGCGCGCACCAAAGGCGCTCCGACCCCCGTCGCAGCGCGACGACGAGGCGAGGTTGACCCCAGTCGGGGGGTACCCCCCACGCTGATTAAGAAACCCGGAGTACCCCTTCCCGTGCCACCCCTTCGCACCCCTTCGCACCCCTGCCCCCCCCCCTCCTCTCCCCGCGCTCTGGCGCGCGAAGGCGACTGTGCTGCGCTCATCGCGGCCTGGGCCAGGCAGTGTTGTCTCTCTCCAGGTGGCGGCGCGTGAGCGCGAAGCCAGCCACGTTGAGCACAGCGTGCGGCGTGAACCCAGGTGACCTAGGCAGGGCCACCACGAGGGTGCGAAATTGGTCGCCCTCCGCGCTCCGCGGTCTGGGCGATTTCAGATGGAGGCGCGAGTCCCTCCTCCTGCTCTGGCGGGGGTGCGGTGCGAAAGCGCGAAGGCAAGCGCGCTTCGCGCCTCGCGGAGCGCGAAGCGCGAAGAGAAGATCGTTGCCTTCGCTGCCGTCCGCGAGCCCCCTCGATTCCAGTGGCCGCAG